ATCCAATTGTTGTTACGATAAAGACATTTGAAACTGTTTGCAGACCATCATTTTAACCAACAGAGAGAATGGCTGAAAGGAATAAGTTAAAGTCCAAAATGAATGACATTCATGCACACAGAGCCTTTTCTCGTCATCTTGGTGCCCTAGAGGTTATAGTTGGCCACAATTTTGTGCATTATAATAGCCTATTGTAGGGTGTTTTTTAATAATAGATCCTACCGTTTATAATGGGGTCCTTTGAAGAAGGTCAAATTTTTGTCAAAACCAGAAAAGGAATGAAGTGAAGATTTACTTCAGTGTCTCTAAGGAGGTTTAAAAATTTTGAAGGATTAACATTTTTTGCTGTCAAGTAGGCTTGACCTTTTCTGAATAATTAAGAAAAAATATGCAGCTGGACAAGTTTAGAATAAGGTTAAAAGTCGAGAACATGGATAAAGAAGGCTGCACTGCACTTATTTACACAACAGGCACAGTGTCTGCAGTAGAATAATTCAGAAACCTTGCCTCATTCTAGGGAACCAGTAAAACTACACATAGCTGCTACTGAACTATTTATTTGATCCCTTTTTTTATGTATTGCATTTTTTGTATAGTTGTCAAAGTCACACCCCTTACAGCAGTTGCAGCCCAATAGAAAATCTGTATGTCTGTATTGCAGTGTCAGTTTCTCGTGTTTTTTGTTTTTTTTTGTTTTGGTTTTTTCTCAGGTGGTCAAATGGAAAGTGGAGAAAGATGCTGTCCCTTATAGACTGTAATAAAGAAATGTACGATTTGGGAGCGTGTTTGTTCATTTTAGATGTCTACATTAGTGAAGGTTAATTTATTTTAAATTTTTGCTTTCTGATAAGAGAGCAAGTGAGGGCTATTTGGTTGCTACTGCCCTGAATCTACTATTCATCTGAACTGATTAAAGTTGCACACAGAAAAAAATACTGTGCTTTATTAGTTAACAAGTGAAATAAGATCTTCATATTTTCATTTTCATTATATTAGTTGAGACTCTATGTTCGGTCAAAAATGCAGTTTAATTATGCTTAGGCTGATTCAATTTTTAGATGTCTAGAAACTTTACAGGAATGTCCCATGAACTTAGACGTCTCAGGTGGAAGGTTGGAGGATCCTTCCCAACTCATCTTAAACTTAATGCAATAACAGCATTTGCACTTCTTATTCAATGACAGAGATCCTCCACTGATAGCAGCTATCTTTTTTCAGACTTACAAGTCGAATATCATAAATTTGGTCAGAAGTTAGCAGAGGATTATTTAACCCTAATTCTCTCCATAGTTGCATTTTAAGTAGCATGGTTCCATGAAGTTCTGAGAGGTCTTTTCTTTGGTCTTTTTATTGTGGTCATCAGGCAACAGCTAGACTTGTTAAATTGCAGCTGTTTGGCATTCCACTTTACTCAAACAGTAGAATGCAGAAAATGATTTCCGTTTAATACACTTTGTAAGTTGCCTTTATAAATCAAGCATCGTCATCATAATTTAGTCGCAATTACTGTAAAATACTGTAATAGTGGACAGAGGTCCACATTTGAATACAAAACAAAATAGTGGGGAAAAGGGTTAAAGATACAATAAGATAAAGCAATACCTAAAACTTTAATAAATTGATCTTTGCCTAATAACAGTGCAGTAACTCTGGCGCTGAAGCACAAATGTCTGCAGCCCAACCAAGGTGTGACTGTGAGGGACAGCTTGGCCCATAGTTCCAGACCTGCTGGGCTGTGTAATGCCACAGAGAACGCTTTCCAAAGCACGAGGAAAACAAAAGGCTGCATGAATCATGACTAATTGTTATTAATTAAGCCATTCTCATTCTAATCATCACATAAATCGCAGAGCTCATTTTGCTTTGAGAAAGCTAAAGTTTCGAATCCTTACAGGATGTAATCGATGGCTTCTGTGAAGCATTCCAGAGATTTAATCATCTCTGTTAATTAGCTGCATTACAAAGGAAACGGTTAGAGTAATGGGAATGGGATATGAGCGGAAAGATTGTTACATAAATGAAGAACTATTTACTGCATTATCGAAGATTCTACATTTAAATGAAGAAATCGTTGAAAAATGTAGGGAAAAAAAGAAAATAAAAACTCAAGCAGAAGCAGTGGCACCATATAATTGCAATATGAAATGTATTCCATTAGTTTTAAATTAGGATAATTATAAAATTTGCTCCTGTTTATGGTAAATAAGTTCTTCTTTTCGGAGAATAATATTTATAAAAATTCAAATTATAATAGGCATTTGCAGACCAGATGTCACGGCTATGAAAAAGAACAGAGAGGAAGGTAAAGGTTGAAATAAATGCTAGTTATGCAAAATTGGGAGAATAAAGGGAGAATGTGTAGAAGCATGAATAGAGGAACAGCTTTGGACAACCTGAACCACTCTAACTTCAAGCTTCATCAAAAATGATGATGTTTTAAGCCTGGTCTCAAAAGTAGACAGGGTATCTGCCTCACAGACTGGTGGTTGGTTCCATATATTAGGAGCCTGATAAGATCTGCGTCACTTTCTACTTTTGGAAATTCAGAAACCACTAGTAAATCTGGATTATTATTATCATTAGCATTATGACTACGAGCAAAGGAACATATGGAACAATAGGATCTCTGATATATAATGGAGCTTAATTATTAAGAGCTTTATATTTAAAAGGGAGCAGTCCATGCAGGTTTTCATGTCTTCAATACATGCTTGAAGTCTTTCTAACAGGCTACATTCAGCATAAAAGAGGAAATATATCTGATACTTTTACCTATTTGAAGCATGTCAAGAAAGTCAGCAAAACATTGAATCTATGGTATTCCAAGAGGAATCCCAAAGTAAAGTGAAGAACTCCTCTCTCTGAAATCACCCAAGAGGGAGGTGGAGAGTCCGAGGTCATGGAAGGGCGATAACAACCAAACCTGGAGGACATGAAGAAGGAAAGACCTTATTAGCCACTGTTCTGAGGCAGACATGGTGGGGAACTTCAAGTACCTGGGCATCCACATCAGTATGGACCCCACCTGGACATTCAACATTACAGATGTGGTGAAGAAGGCCCACAGGATCATCTGAGGAGGCTGAGGGAATCTAGCATAGGAACCAAGATCTTCAGTAACTTGAACAGTTGCGTCACTGAGTCTGACCTGACCAACTGCATCACCGTTTGGTATGGCAGCTCTAGTGGTAAAGGCTGTGTATCAGATCACCAGGACACTAAATCCCTCTCTACAGAGCATCTACCACTGCAGAGTCTACAGGAAAGCTGCTTCCAATATCAAAGACCCCATCACCCCTAGCGTGGACCATTCACTCTCCTACCCTCAGGCCAGAGGGTGGGAGTGGGAGATGCAGAACCACCAGATTTAAGAATCTGTTTCTCTCCATCATATTGTTAAGCACTGAAACCCTCACCCTTGAGGACAGAGCTCCCCCTTATGGACATGTCATCTCTGGGCATTTTAATTTACTGCAGTGCAATACTTGACTACCTCTACTGTCCAGTTGCATAATACCAATCTATTACTGCTAAATGTGGCACAAAAAGCAGTAAATGTAGCAAACTGAGGCCTTATTTTACATCTCTGTTCATTATATTTTGTCAAGGTTTTGATTTTAAAGGTTAACGTTAAAATAAGTGGAATCTGTCAGAAAAATAGCATTTACACCTCTGTAAGAGAATATTGTAATCTTTCAGATATAAAGTCCATTTTTTGACGCTATAAGAATATTATTTGTGATTTCCATCCAGTGCTGTTTCAGGGCTATGGTTTTGTTGGGAGTATTAAAACTTGACTAAAACTCTTTAAACAGGTCATTATAATGTAAATGCTAACACACTCTATTAGGAAAAAATTTATCATCTTTGTAATGTCTTCTTGTCATTCTCATGTTTGATCAACAGAAAGAATTTATTTAGATTGATGAACACTGGACAGTGCTTATAATAATTCAGTAAATACCGAAATAGTTGCACTTTTGACTGAGTAGAACATAATTGAATATGTTGGCTACACATCTTATTCTATTTTTTCGAGATACAATGTTTGATAACTATATTAAGTACTTCTTCTTCTTCTTGTGTGTTATAGCGGTTGGCAAACTATTTTTGGTGCATTACTGCCACCAACTGAAATGGAGTGTGGATCGGGAATGAACCAATTCAATATCCTACTACATATTACTACAAAAGTAAACTAAAAAAAACAAAAAAAAAAAAAACTAAATCCTCTTTAACAAATTTCTCTTTTTAAGAAATCTCAATAATAAGGAAAACCCCTCTGATTTAGAATACAAGTCTAAATGGTATTTTAAGTTTAAGTTTAATTTATTGACTTTTAATCTGTTTATCAATTGGATTCTCTCATTTACATATTTAGTGCAAAACTATTATTACGTGCTCCGCTGTTTCTTCTTGAAAACAAAAATCACACTTCCCTGTATCATGTTCCCCTATTTTAAACAACGTGCTATTTAAACCTGTATGGCCAAACCGTAACCTTGATATCACAATTTCCTCCTTTCTATTCCTTGCTGTTTTTCTCATAAAGCCAACTCTTCTTTGAATAATAAAACCATCTACTAGTTATTTCTTCTTCCCACTGTTTTTGCAATCTTGATCCAATCCTTTCCTTAATTACTGATTCTATTTCACCTTTACTACATGGAATTATTATATCAATTGAACTACGTTTACTTGCTTGTTTTGCACATCTATCAGCCATCTCATTCCCTTCTATTCCTATATGAGAAGGAATCCATGTAAAATAAGCTATTAATCTCATTGCTTGAATTCTAAATAATAAATAATTGCTGAATTTCTGCTAATATATCAGGTCTGTTGTGTTTAAATGAAAATAACGCTGAACTAGAATGAGAGCAAACTATACTTCTTAATGGACAGATTTTCTTAATCCATTCTAATGCAAATATGATCCCAATATTAAGTATTTGTTCAAGACTTATTTCATTACTCAAATTTGGTCCTTTTGACGCTCCGTATAATATCCTGTTTTACATTATTCTACTTCCTGTTTGAACCGTCACTGCGCATGCTCAGTTCACTGGTAAGGAAGAAAGGAAAATGTCTCTTACGAGGTGAGTAACTGAGCTTTTTGCCTTTATTGGTTTAAACGGGGATCATCGCGATCTAAACTGTGTTACTTGTTATGGTCTTAATGCATGTAAGCTCTTAGATATTTGGTCGATTGTTATCGTTTGGTTTAAAGCTATTAGTTTTAGCTGCGGCTAGCGTCTAAAATGTCGTCGGCTAACGTTAGCACTAGTTAGCATAGCAACACGCAGTCGAAGTAGCGGGACAGGCTAATCTATTAAATATTTTTAATTTACACTGTGCTATTGTTCGATTTAGATTCGTACAAAATATATGTATAAATATGTTTGTGTGACTTGATAAAGGCAGTTTTGTCGTGTAAGTTGTGAATGAATCCGGATTAGTTATGAGCTAACAGTTGTTTTGCTTTAGCATTTGGCACATTTACGAAGCAATAAAACTTTGGGTATTTGTTTCGTTTGTGAAGCTTTTTACCAGCTCCGACACAGCTGTCGCAAGATCAGCTGGAGGCAGAGGAGAGGCTCCGGGCTCAAAAGTCCCACTCCACCGCGCTTGTGTCATCCCGCAGAGACCCCCCTCCTTACGGACAGAGAAAAGGCTGGGTGCCGCGCGCACTAGAGGTAAACACAAAGTTCCTCTCTCTGTTTGGCTGTAGGTTGGGGTGGTTTATACTGACCCAAAGATCTCATCTACATAAAAGATATGGACATTGTAAACTTTGAGTAATCTGTGTTGTGTAGGATTTTGGAGATGGAGGAGCATTCCCAGAAATCCATGTGGCCCAGTTTCCCCTGGAGATGGGCAGGAGGAAGAAAACCTCCAATGCCCTGGCAGTGCAAGTGGATGCAGAGGGAAAAATCAAATATGATGCCATTGCAAGGCAAGGACAGGGGAAAGATAAGGTATTTTAGCTAGTAATTATTTACTATGCAATTATTTGTAAAAGTTGGTTATTCCTTACGTTTTCTGACAAAGTCAAATGTCATTCATAATTTCAGGTGATCTTTAGCAAATATACTGACCTGCTCCCTAAAGAAGTTCTTAAAGATGACTCTCAAGAGCTACAGAGGCCTGATGAGGAGGCTGTGAAGGAGGTACAGTGTTTTATGCATTCTATCTTTAAAGAGTTCCAAGCATGTTTGAAATCATTTAGTCATACTCTTTTCATTTCTGCTTCTTAAGCATGGCAGAAAATTCTATTTCTTAGTTTTATACACGAACAAGATTATGTTGTCTTTTACATTTTAAAACTCTAGACCTTTCCTCTGTGACTCATTCTTACTATTGTTAGAAAACACAACGGATTGTGTTTTCTTTAAGTTGATGTCATCCAAGTCAGGATAAAGCATTTATCACCTGCCACTGACATTTTGAGCCTTTCCTCTATTTTCAGAGATCCTCATCTACCTGTTTGAATTTCTCAAATCCCCTTATAATGAACATAGTCTTTATTTACTTTTTCATTCTTTGATGTATTGTTGGACCAGTGATCACTATTGAGTTACAAATGATAACACAGTGGGATAATCGGTTCTACACTTATTCTAGCTTACAGAGAAAACCCGTTCCGCCCTGGAGAAGCAGGTGTCGCAAAAGATTGCTGCCGCCATGCCTGTAAGAGCTGCAGACAAGCAAGCTCCTGCGCAATACATCAGGTACGTATTTTAGTGGCCATATTATCAACAGATCTTAAAGAAAAAAAAAAAAAAACAGAACACCACCTGTTATTTAATGTTGTCAATTTTAATTGCATTGTATTTCAAGAAAAAAGTTGGATACGTGGATTGGAATGTTAATTATGTAAAAAACAAGTGTTGATTTCACCAAACACTAGTGAATTTTCTGATGTTAAAGCTGACAGGAAAAAAAGAAGCTGCTAAGGTGCATAAAGCATATCGTTAATGGTTACGTTTTCGAAATACATACAAAAAGTTATGCAAAGAAGGGTCTGTTTCAACTATTTGGTCGTTTGTGGTGCTTTGAACCCGTATCAGCAGAAGACGGTTCCCTTTCAAATCATATGTTAAATCAGTAAAACAAATAAATGAAAGCTAAAAAGACGTTATTTTACATGGCTAACCTCTGAAATGTAATTGCCATCGGTTATATATAGCTGTCAGTGAATGCTTTTTTATTTTCCATTTACATTCAAGTTAAAAATGTTCTGTGTTGTTGTTCTTTTTGGAGCGTTTTAAGATGTTAAAATAAAATATAAGGTTAAAGTTGTTCACACAGATAGCCAAACAGAATAGCCAAAGTAATTGCAGTTAATATTTTACAGGTAAACTTTAGGGGTATTTTCTCAGACATCATCCGAGTTAAATCCAGAGCAATTTTAAGTACAATCTTGTTAATATTGGGCGTTCTGCATGTTTTATTTATCATTGTTAATACTAAAATAAATATCTTTTTTTTTTTTTTTTTATCATGTAAGTTGGTTAAACTTTAATTTTTGTTTGGAAAACCTGAATTCTAGTCACAACACAAAAGGACTTGCAAGTGACAGAAGGATGTTCTGACATTTAAATTCTGAGAAGCTAATAGAGCGTCCATTCTAGGTGTCAAAAAAATCCTTTGTTGGTTACTATCTGTTTATTATATTCACAAATTGTCTATATTTCTGCTTTAAATAATCAAATGTGTCTTGGTTTTATTTTAGTATTTTATTTGAGCATTTTTTTTTGTTTGTGCAGACAGCATCATAAATGCTTTGAAGTCTCCCCCTGCGTATTAAGCACTCTAGATTAGTAGCTCATTTTGAAGTACAGTTTGATGGCTGATGAAACTTTTGTTTTTTTCTCTCACTCTTAGATATACACCATCTCAGCAGGGAGTTGCTTTTAATTCAGGAGCCAAGCAGAGAGTGATCCGTATGGTGGAAATGCAGAAGGATCCCATGGAGCCTCCTCGTTTTAAGTAAGCAGCACATGATGGTTGAAAAATTGCTTTAATTGTCTTGTGTAAAATCTAAACAGAGGGTCAGATCTTTTTGTTTGATATCAGCATTTGGTTTGTCCAAGTAAAAATAGTTTTACTACTAAATTCAAGTGTGAATAGCAGAGTCTCTGATCAGATTAATCAGTGTAGGCTTTGAATAACAAACGCTACACCACAATCATGTTTTTTTTATTAAGCATTCTGAAGGTAATATGAAATATCTATAATGTGTTTTAGAATCAACAAGAAGATTCCCAGGGGACCTCCGTCGCCCCCTGCTCCTGTCATGCACTCTCCTAGCAGAAAGGTAGAGTTTAAGTGCTGCTTTTCAACTATTTGGTTCTAAATATTATTCAAAGTTGTAATTAGTGCTGTAGATGAGATCCAGTGATAGATTTAGTTTGCTTTAGATGACAGTCAAGGAACAACAGGAATGGAAGATTCCTCCATGCATCTCCAACTGGAAGAACGCAAAGGTAATAGTTTCTCTCTTTATCAGTCAAACACGCAGCCATTAAAGCTTTTTTTTTTTTTACCCTTTCCTGCACATTTGATTTTCTCTTGTTGTGCTCGATTTCCTTCAGGGCTACACCATTCCTCTAGACAAACGTCTGGCTGCTGATGGAAGGGGTCTGCAAACGGTTCACATTAATGAGAACTTTGCCAAGCTGGCAGAGGCCCTCTACATAGCAGATAGAAAGGTGACGTATGATTGCAAGTCTACTCTGTTACCCCTCCGTCTATGCTCAGAGGGACACCATCATCTTGCTAATTCTGATATTGATCAATTAGTTGTTCAGACAGCAGTCAGATTCCAAAAGATCCGACCTGGATCAGATTTAAAACCACATACAAATGTAGCCCAGAACAGATTGGAAAAAGTCAGATATCAGATGACTTGGCCTGCACGCACAGTCAGGAAAGAATCTCACCTGAGTCACTTCAGAGCAACAAAAAAAATGGGTCACATTTGTCTGCAGTGTGAACAATGCTATTATTTAGTGGATCTTACAGGTTATTGTGGTGCTGCAAACACACTGAAGTCAGATTTAGTCAATGGTTTAGAAGTAATCGGAAGGACAAACAAAAAAATGTGGATTCCTTAAAAAAAATGGATTACTCTACAGCCTTATAGCCTCCCGTTGCTATGGTGGAGGGCATCTTATTATGCTTTCACTAACCCTGAACTCTGGGTTAACTTAAAGGTATTGTGGAGGATTTTCACACATTTTTTAAAAGACATGCCCTCTCCACTTAAAATAAAAAATGCACATGCACAACCCTGTACCCGCTCCCGAGAGGGAATGACCTATTAAACGCATGCGACAGCATGCACAATCCAAATTCTCCTCGTGAACGCTCTGTTTAAGAGTTGCTGTTCTCATAGCTCCAACAAGCTTACTGTGTCTAAACCTCCGCTCTAACTCCTAAATCCCTTAATCGCTATATAGAGCAGGGAGGATATAGTGGACTTTATTGTAAACTCTGTTAACAGACGTTTCGGACTCTTGATCAGTACTTTTTGCTTCATTGGTAACCTAACTCCTCCTCCGCTGCAAGGTTCCTATCTTTATCTTTGGCCTCAGCCTACGATGACAGCGGGCCACTGTGACAGCAAATCCCATAATGCTTTGCGAGGAGAGCTCTCTGCATTCTTGGATATACCTGCCTCTTCTGAATCCTTTCTTTTCTTCTCATACACTTCATTGACACTTTTTCTCTTACGGCCCTCGGCCATTTTCAAAGAACCGAGCTTCTGTGACTGTCTGAAACCGTAGCTCACCACAGATGTACGCCTGATAGTTCGCATGCGCAGAAAAAGATAGCTAACGGGACAAGCACGTAGGACGGCCTTACATAAATATATCACCAGAATGATTGACAGTTTAGTTTCAACTTAAAATAAACTTTTTAAAACTGAAAATCCTAAATATCACAAATCTGAATAAGCCGTCTCAAGGTGACTGCTCTCTACTCAGACTAAGTTAAGCCCATGTTCTAAATCAGGGCCCAGGCCTGCTTGAATCTCCTTAATATTTTTTAATATATTTGTCAAATACATGTTTTTTATTTATTTTTTTTTTTTGTTATTTCTTTTTTCTAAATTTTTCCAATTTCTGAAGGCAAATAAAGCAAGTTCAGGTCACTTTTCTTTTAATTTTCTTGATTTTACAATGGTAAAATGGATTTCACAATGGTACATTTTTGATGATACACAGGTTAAATGTCCTGATGAAGGCTGTGCCCTGTGCAGATGGAGTCTTACAAAATACCTGTTTAATAATGTTCTGTAACAAACCTGATACCTTCACAGAACAAAAAACATCCAAGTCATGCAGTATGTTATCTTGGTCAGTCACGTAAAATACATCGAATGTTGTGGTCCTAATATTAAGATGTTTTATGGGTATGAAAAGTTTGGTCAGGTACGTCTTATGTAATGATTAAATACTGATACGGATGTCGTGTTTAGGCCAGAGAAGCGGTGGAAATGCGAGCGCAGGTAGAGAAGAAGATGGCTCAAAAGGAGAAGGAGAAGAAGGAGGAGAAACTGAGGGAGCTGGCTCAGATGGCTCGAGACCAGAGAGCAGGGATCAAAAGCCACGGTGATAAAGGTGAGCCCTGAATACTGCATCTTCTACAGGGAGGGGAGGTTTTTAAGCCCTCCCAGTTGTTTTCTTTCTGCTGCCTTCCTCATCTTCATCCATTCTCCTGTTTTTGCTAAGGCGGCGAAGACGGGGAGGCCAGGGAGCGTGACATGATCCGCCACGACAGAAGGAAAGACCGACAGCACGACCGCAACATTTCCAGGGCGGCTCCTGATAAGAGGTGCTGGAAACACTCTCTAAACACACAGCATGTGGTCTGAGCTTCTCTGTTCCCTGTAGAAACTCATTGGCATAAATGCTCGGTATGCCTCTGAATCGTTTAGAGGCCAGCAGGGATGGCAAAGCGTCAAACTGAGCAGGCAAGCTCTTTCATACACTTTACATATGAGGAGCAAGATCGGCGTCTGTCAGTGTGTTAGGAATCTATTTGCTCTGTCAGCTTGTTTGGTGATGCGGTTGTGAGTCCCTGGACAGGTAGAGGAAGTCAAATTCACAGGAGAGCTCATTACGATCAACGTTGCAGCTGTCAGAGAGCACCGGCCCGGCTGTTTATAAATTACTTCTAGGTTCAATCTTCCAAGGATGTTTTCTGTAGAACAATCAAGATTTCAAAGTGCTTAAAATGTTTACACTTTAAAAAGAGCTGTTACCACCTGGTAGATGATTGTTCCGGTTTTTTTTTTTCCTGTTAATACTGCAAATCCAGATATAAGAAAATCCTTTAAATACCCTCCTGACCTTTTATTGCACACATTCAATCTCAAATAGTTTGCTGCAACAGTCAAAAAGGTTAAATACACTTGTAATGTGAACATATAGATAAGTGTTAACAGACCTTCAACAATTAGTAAACAGTTTGACAGGAAATGTGAGATCAGCTGACAAATAGTTTTTCCTCAAATCTGCTTAAACAAAATGGAAACTGGATTCATGATACCAAATCTCAATGAGATATTTGCAATATTTCTGAGCAACAAAGACCTATAGCAGAAGTTAGCGGATGACCTGTAAGCTACCAAAATGATTAAGGTAGGACTTTTAAAAGGGGCTAAAAATAGTAGCATTTTTTTGTTTATCTCCATCTATGGTCTTAATCCAACAAGTACATTGAAAATTTATGTTTTTTTGCTGTTGCCACTGTAAAGTATTTAAGGACCCACACTGATTTTAGAAGAACTTGGGTTTGATCACTATTCTTAGTTTCTGTTTAGATGTAAGTGCTTCTGTCACATGCCCTTATTTAGTCCTGATTGGAAGCTTTAAAGTATGTTTGCCCTTTTTTTTTAGGATGATTAGAAATTAAATGTGCAATCAAAGAAGCATTTTTCAGCCCTTTTCTGCCTTCTGCTAAACCTGAAAGTTAAGCATACTGAAAACATTTTTTTTACTTTTACAAAAAGGAATATGCAGTCAAACGACTGAAGGGTCAGAGTATATTCGTTTCTTTCTGTCCATGAAATATTTATATACTTTTTAAGTTCCACTAATTGTTTCATCTAATCTTACAAGTTAAAGGAATGTGTAACATCCAGCTGTTGCATGGTGACAACAAGCTGCAGTTTGACTTATTTTGCCTTCGACATTAAAGGCCGAAGAACTAGTTTTCCAGAAGTCCTATATAAAGTTTATGGAGGATCATATAGTACTTTCAGACAGAAAGATCTGTTTGTTTTTGTGATTTTTGCTAACGCCATGTTGCTAACTTATTTTCTCAGATCGAAGCTACAGAGAGATCAGGACAGAGACATCAGTGAGCTCATTGCTCTGGGCAAACCCAACCCTCGTACCTCCAGTGAAGCTCAGTACGACCAGCGCCTCTTCAATCAGAGCAAGGTTGAAACATATTTTGATCACTTCTGCCTTTTTTTATGAGAAGAAAAAAAAAACATATACGAAGTATAATTTAATCCATCCAAAAAAATAAGTGTGTAAATGGAAAGTTCTGCAGAAAGACGATTCAAAAGCTGCTGATTTGTGTTTAGGGTATGGACAGTGGTTTTGCTGGTGGCGAAGACGAGACCTACAACGTGTACGACCAGCCGTTCCGTAGCGGCAGAGACATGGCTGCCAACATCTACAGACCCAGCAAGAACATAGACAAAGATGCCTACGCAGATGACTTTGACTCTCTTATGCAGAACAACAGGTACTTTTTGGTTTATTTTTGCTATTTTATGTCACTTCTTGATTTTCTTTATTATCTCTTTACAAGATATCCTGCATAGGATTACTTGTCTTTTATAGTTGGATTGAAATTGAATACATTTTATAAAGCCTAAAATAAAAATTCTTATCCATTAATAAGCTTTAAAAAATGAATGCATAAACTGTAAAACTTCTCTTGATGTTATGGCAGTAATGAAGATATGAAGTTTAATACAGTTAGATCTTCTTTCATAAAGTCTTTGGCAGAGAGTCCAGGAAATGTCTGCATAAATGATCTGTGAACTACCTAAGTTTTTTTTTTTTTTTGCCTTTTGTTTTGTTAGATTTGCTCCAGACAAGGAGTTCTCTGGAGCCGACCATGGGCAGAGACGGGAAGGGCCTGTGCAGTTCGAGGAAGATCCGTTCGGTCTGGACAAGTTCTTGGAGCAAGCCAAACAGCATGGCGGCTCCAAGAGGCCGTCCACCAGCAACCGCTCCAAGGACGACTACCATGACAAGAAACGCAGGAAGGAGTGAGGAGACCTCTGACCAAAGTCCGGATTTACTAGCTAAAGGATCATTAGTTAAAGAGGCATCGACTCTGTACTATAAAAACCTAAAAAAAAACTATACATTTTTTCCTCTTGCATTTGTCATTTAAATGCCTCTTTTTAATGTTTTACAGCGATGAACGGGAAAGTAGATATAAAACCAAGAGGGGAATCAGGACATCTGTAAGATAAAATGAAAGTTATTTCAGATAATTTCTGTAAATTTTGTCCTCTTGAAATATCCTCCATATTTTTCTTAAACTTTGACATAAAGTTAAAGAACTGTTACTGTTATATAGTTTCATTCTTTTCTAATTGTTCCCTTCATCTTTCTGTGTTTTATTTAAGTTTTTTCTTGATCAAAGCCCAGAGTGTTTGTACATCGCTATTTAGAGGAACAAGCTTTCTAGATCCTGTACATTACAACCAGTAGAATAAATTTCATATTGTGCTTATATTTTGTCCATGCTTTGCAAGTAAAGTTGTCTTTTCCCAAAGTTTAAATTTGACACAGATTCCTCCCATTTTTATTGCACAAGACTTTAATGTAGCACTGTTTGCTCAGATCGTCTTCAGTCATTCTAATCATTTCCTGTGTAATGCAGCTCATTAACAGATAATTAACCCTGCAAAATGCTCACAGAAGCCATCGATTACATCTTGTAAGGAGTTGAAACTTTTTGCTTCTGCCAGAAAAAAGAGCTCTGCGATTTATGTGATGATTAGACGGAGACTGGCTCCATTAATAACAATTAGTTATGATTCACGCAGCCTGACACTTCTGTTTCCCCCATGCTTTGGAAAGCGATCTGCGTGGCATTAAACAGCCCAGCAGACTGGAGACGACACTAAGCCGTCTTTCAGGGCTGCAGTTATTTAGCGTGGAAGATTTACGCCTTCTTCAGTTCCAGTCTTAATGGACTGCTGTGTTTTATTAGCCTCTATTTAAACGGCATCTGAGGAGTATCAGCCATTTGGCATATGAGAGTGGCATGTTGCCACAGCCATATCTACCTCGCCTTAGTTCCTGAGGTTACCTGCAGGTAGGTATCAAATAGTGTCCATCACAGCGCCTCTACTGACACCAGTAATGCCAGTAAAAAGCTTAACTTCAACTTGAATCATGAAGTATCCCCATCTTGATATACATGGAATCAAAAGCTGCTTTGTACTCTATAAAGATTCTATTTCAGTGAAGTTAAAACGTTATTTTTTTCTTTATGTACATATATGTGGTCTGTTAAAATGCTGTTTTTTTTGCTCCTCGTGACGCTGTGTTCATTAAAAATTTCTTCACAGTGCACCAAGGTTTATGCTGAGAAAATTACACCTGTTAACCAACTCCTGATTTGACTGATCTTTAAAAGGAGCCGCATAAACATGACATTTCACAGTTTTATTAACAGAATGTTTTTTCAGCTGAAAATAATGTTTAGTCCAGGTTACGAATGAGTTGAGAAGCTTTTTTAAAATGATCTTTTTTTTTTTAACCCATTGTTCAAAAGGGAAAAATAATGCACAACTTTATACAAGCTGCTGTCCACATTTAATCAGACAACTTATTTTAGGAACCTAAAAATTAAAATATTTTGCTAAAATATAGTAAAAATATGGGCAATTTACATCAAACACCATAATTTTAAATTTATCATACGAGGAAGAAGCTTTAAAAACTGTGTTTCCTAATGAATGACTCATGTATCGGTTAGTTTTTCCACTTAATTTTATTACCTGTAGCATAAATGTTTGGAAGAAGGACTGATGAGTACAGGATTAGTGGTAGGTTTATAAACTGAATTTAAGTATTATACGTAACCAATTATTTATATGGAAAGTGGGTAGGCACAAACAAGTATGTCAGTCTATGCCTTCTCCTTTTACCAATCAATGAAAATATTTTGTCAGCTATTTACCAAATTTTGTAAAAGAAAGTCTGTTGCTCAAACATAAAATAATTCCTGTCCTCAGGTATTTTTATTCTATAATCGAAGTTTTTCTGGCATGGCAGCATATATTTATAATTTCAACAAAGCAAATCCAGTCAGACTTATTCATGACTTAAAGAAAGATAATATTCCGATGATCTTAATGGAAACTTTTCCATCAGTTTCTTTTTGTATAGATAATCTACATAGATATTCCTGCAAGGAACAAGGTATGTATATCCTTGCCATAGTTATCAAATAATGCAATAATTGTTCAAGTGCAAATCTTTTTTTTTTTTTTTGCCTGGTCAGAACTTTTCTGCAAAACAAAAACAAAACCCTGATAATTTATGTTAATTTTCTTTTTTAGAGAGGTTGCATTATCCATGATTTCAGTCTGTCACCTTTATATATCAGCAATCAAAGTTATCTACAACAAAGAAGCACTAAGAAGTGTAAAACGTCAAAAGCAATGTAGCTGTCATAAATTGGTGCTGAAGCCCCACCATGGTTTTATGCACAGTGCAGTCCTCCTCCTGGCTTTAAGAACATCGAGCCGAAGCAGCACAAGAATAAAGGAGAGTCTGTATTGCTCTGGGTAATATAGCCTAAAGGACACTCCAAGCTGTTTAAACTCACTGGAGTCTTGGAGAAGATAAAAGCCTGCAAAGTGAGTTTTGTCATGGAAGAGAAGAGTTGTATAATGTCACCCTAATAGACTCTGCTGATATGATGAATGTGATGAATATCTTGACTTGGACTCTCCGTCGATGATAATGAGCAATAAAGATGACATTCTGGCAATGAAAGGCTCGTATTTGGAGCCCCCCCCCCTTTCTTCCTTCTCTGCTCCTACTCTCCTCTCCCTCTGCGGCTGTCTGAAGAGCAAGCAGTCTGTCAGTCAGACAGATAGTTTATTAATGTGACATGGGGTAAAAGGACACGTCAAAGGAGATCAATCACAGAGCCGTGGCACCAGACAAGAGAGCTTTTAATAAACCCAATCATGCTGATGCTTTGTTGTTTTTTTTCTGTTTTTTTTTTTCCTTGTGCATGGCATTTGATATTGAGCGGCCCCACACCATCATGCTTCCCCTCCCCAGACATGCTGCATCATCCGTAATTATAGGAGGCATGTTTTTATGGCTGAAGTCTTCTCCACTGTTACATTCACGATGACAGGTAATGTAGGGACTTATATTTAGAAAAGGATGGAGGAATATTCGTTTTGTATTCCTCCAACAAAAGCAGTGCAGATTAACTCTTCTATCCCCAACAGGTACAAATAACATTCAGTATATCCTGTGAAGCAGGATTTAGACATGAAGGATGCAGGCCACAGAGAAGGCTAATTGTCTTTTATCTGAAAATCAGCATTTAATAGGATACATTTATCAGCAAAAGGTCAGATCATGACAAGGAGGAAAACTGTTTTCATGGTCATCAGCATCAGGCCTTGCATAAGGAAGGATGTGCTGCCAGCTGCCTAACAGCCAATTGTTGCAGTGTAAGTAGATGCAAGCAGACATAGAGGTGGCATGACTACAGATCACTGTTCCTTCCTAAAGCATTCAGACCCTTTGGTTGTTTTATTACATCAATACAGCAGACTTTGATCTGTCTTATCCAGACTAACAAAAAATGGCTCTTTATTGTTTATTTGGAAGCAAAAGGATTTGTGTTATGTTTGGATTTTTTTTGCCAGATTTTTACTGATAAAAATCTGAAACAAGTGTCATGAATTCAATTAACCCCCATTTATTTAACACCCCTGAATAAAATCAATAAAATCACTGTAAGAATCCCAGAGAAAACCTTTCTATCCCTCATCTGAAAATTCAAAAACAGTATGATAGAACTGGAAATTCACCAAAATGGTGCACCTAAAGTAGAGGAGCTGGAATTATTCAGAGCTCAGGGGGGAGAATCTTCTAACAGTTGCACACCACAGATCTGGCTTTTTGTAATTGTCTTAGGAGAAAGCTGCTGTTAAAAGAAGGCATAAGATGTCGCCGGTGACAGTAGACACAGCAAACATGAAGAATCAAGTGTTTTTCTTTGCTGCTGCGCAGTTTAACCTCACAATTTCCTTCTTTTTTCATATTATTTAGTTCTGTGTACCCCTGTTTGCCTTCTGGTCGTTTTTGCCACTGTCACATCCAAATTTCCCCACTGTGTGAAAATAAAACTATTTTTATTCTATTCCAAGTAGGTGCTCTGGTCAGATGAGAACATGGTATTGGCTGCATCATGCTGAGGGGATGCTATTCCTAAGCAGGAACAAGGAAGCTTAGATTCAATAATTCGATAGACAGAGCTAAATACAGGACTGTCCTGGAGTCTGTAAAAGACTGAGGTGATTGTTGATGGGGCAAAAAGAAAAAAATGAAGACTACTGTTTTTCTTATAATTCAGAGTTGGTTTGTTGTGACTGTAAAAACTCACACATAGTCTTGCAGAGTCTGAAAAATGCAGTAGTTCTGCATCTAAACCCATAGTCTGATCTATGCCTGTCATCCTGTAGTGGTACTAACTGAAACCACATTTTTATGACGTGTAAGCTCATGTCTGATCATATTAAGGCTTTTCAACTTTGTCATATCTACACTGGCCTCTTCATAGTAAGTGGCTGAAGAAACTGATCCAGATGCAGTTCCCTTTGAATACTCTGCTCATCCTCTCTGATCTCAGTTCCTTCTCTGTGCTCCAGAGTTTCTTATTGTTTGCAGAGCTTTGAAGAGCCACCGTTGATCTCCACATTCCTCTCAGTGCAGATGAAGCACAACGTGTCTCGTTTTTCCGCAGTGACGCAAGTTTGAACTGAATTCAGTGGAACTTGCTAACTCTGCTGTTCTGCCTTAAAAACACAAGCTGAAGCAATACGTCCAAAGCGGCAGATAAAAGATGGAATTTTTAAAACTAAATTTAAACTATCATGGGAGTTGCTAATTTGAGTGGATGACGTCAAACCAAAGAGCGAGAGGTTTCCTTGATGTGCAGAACAAAATGCTTTAATATTTTTTAAACTGGCATTGGGATAAAGTTCTGGCTATTGCAGAACAACAGAAGTTTTGGAAACTTTAGTCAAATTTGTCCTTTTTTCATAGTTTTTTTTATTATTATCAATTCATTTGCATATCTACAGAACTTTGCTTCCTTTGGGGTTAATAGAATTAAAGCAAACTTTATTGGCTTTTACAGTATGAGACTCTTTCTGTTTTTGTGTTTTGTTTTAGC